GAACTAGTGAATACCAAGGCAAGCCCTGTTTTTTTATGCCCTCTTTGCTAACTCTTGCAGGCTCTTTAATTAATTGTTTGAAATTGAAAGTCTCAGAAAAATCAGAAAACTTTTTGCCAGCTGCGGTTTCTGTAGGCGAAGTGCGCCAGAGGTCACTATATGCATTGAAGTCACCTACCAAAGTTAGGCCGTTAAAAGATCCCGTTTTGGTTACATCACAAATAGTATCGCTCAAAACTTCTATATATTCTTCAGTTTCTGCGTTTGAAAGACTCGATGATCGATAATTTACTGAAAAAGCATACGGAACAACGACTTTGGGTAATCAAATTGCGTTCTAGTTAGGTATGAATCAGTTAGCATTTTTTATCAGTTAACTGTAACTGTGACAACTGTAACTGTCATAACTGTAGGTAAATATTCTAGGGTGATTGGTCCTGTACGATTTGCATACATTTTATGGATTTGTCTGCTCTTAAAATGTATGCAAATCATAGAAGACTAAATCACTCTATAATATTTACCTACAGCTACGAGCAGTTACAGTTGTCACAGTTACAATTATAACGGTTATACAGTTAAGACAGTTATAATTACACAGTTATGACAGTTACAGTTTTACAGTTAACTGTAACTGGTGCATGCCTAGTTCTGATACTGCGTCGATCAATTAAAAGCAACAATATATACACCTGATTTATTTGAAAAAGTATTTATTGACGACCATCTTTTAATTAGAGATGTTTTAATCCAAGTGCAGCAACAGCTTCAATTTATGTTTATTCGGGTTTTGGTAAAGTTTTCTCAAATTTTGTTAAGTTTTTATCTCGTTCTGCGTGTGGCTTTTCTATCTACCATTGCGCTAAAACAACTTTCTGCCAGTTTTTTTGTTAGTGTAACTAATTTACAATGCCCACATTTGTATTATTTTAGCGAAAGTTTGTTTTTTTCGAGTTTATATCCTAATTTTCAAATAAATGTGTTCTTCTAATAAAGAAATTTTTCTTTGATTTTGAATGCTAGCAGATAATGCCATGGACAAGATGAATCAATGATTTCTTCCGTTCTGTAAATTCTTCTTCTTGTAAATTTCTTATTTTACCATGTTCCGCAATACGTAGAAAGTGTTTATTTTTGCCTTACGGCATAAATCATTTTGCTTGTACAGAAATAGTAATAGCAGGGTTGATTACTGGTTGATCAACAGTCAAGTTAAATTATTGATGGAAATTATGTACTAGCAATTGATACTGATTTCAATTGATTCATTACGAAATTGTACAAAATCCGAAATATACACAACACGACAAGCTGAGAAAGCAAATAAGAATGTGCGACAATGATCATACATTGCCTTGATCCATCGAGTCTGAGCTTCTCTCCTTTTGGACCTTTGAAAAGAGAATCAAACATTTTTAACAATCATTATCATCCTCACTCCATCATAAACAACCTTGGTTTACCATTTAAAATGAGAATAGAAAAGGTAAAAATTCTTCTTGTAGCCTCTCTCTGCAGGTCTATTTTAAAATGTTTTAGCAAAGTATTTTTCAATTGTAATAAATATATTAGGTTCTTCGAAGACGGTTGAAGTTAAACTTAACCGTATATAGGAAATTCCTTGTTGTGTATATTTTTACTCACTGTCGAGCACCACAGACGGGATGGATATTCCGGGGATACAGAGATGGAAGAGGGCGACTAAGAGGAGGAAGACCATACCTGGTGGCTATCAACAGAGTAGAAGATGGGAGGACCATGATAATCAGCCGGACAATATAAGCAATAATCAGCAGACTCGTGAGACCACCAGGACTAGGTAGATGAGGAACGGATACCCTGTTGCAACTACTATTGATCAGATGACCAAATGGCGTAGTCATGACAGACTCACTAGGAAGAGAAATGCAAGACGAATGTTACGCAATAAGCACTGCTTCATAAAAATAGAAAGCTACATTTGAAAATCGTGATCCATATTTATCAATAACTCAATAATTAGAATCTGACAATTCTAGACTTGCCTGTCGGCAATGTGAATCATGTCTGATTATTGCTGGTACTAATGACATATGTGGAAAGTTAATTGACCAAATCATGGCTGATTTGAATATATTGATTGCAATATTAAAATACAAATATCGATTAGTTCAACACGTATACTACACAAAATTATTAATCGAATCAAACCATGTTGGCAATCACAGACACGAAAAGACATGATGAATGAAATTCGTCAATATAATGAAAGATTGAACATGATGGCACCTACATACGGCTATACAGTGGTCACACCGGACATAAAAGACGAAGACTTAAAAAATGAAGGTGTACATTTAAACGACACTGGTGTACTAAAATTAGTTCAAACAATAAAAGAAACATTCTCTCGCTATTCAAGGGTTGACGCCAGGAATAAGACTCCTTCAGGAATATGAAGGAAGATTTGCTTCGAATAATGAGCTACGGCTCATAGCGTTACATACAGAGAAGGAGCAAGATATAATAAGGATTTTGCCAGACGGCATTAGATAGGTGATAGAAAATGAATCCAAGGAAACTTTAGAAGACAGAAGCTACCGCGGAGTGATAAGAAAATATATCTATGCACAATTTTTACGAAATTACTACAAAGTAATATCGGAATACTTAGAAATATATATCGATGATAGGACCGACGTCAAGCGGCTTCCATTGAGTGTACACAAATATGTGACACCACTGTATAGTATAACTATACCTCGAGGCTGGGAAGGTAAGATACGAGAGGGCTGCAAAACAGGCAGATAAAGACAGAGACGAATCTGCAAAATGACTTATTGCATTAATTCAGATTTCAGAAGGTATGACTACCGAAAAATGCGCAGCATTTCGTAGTTCAACATTTCTTCCTTTTTTCTTCGTGGGGAAACGATATCGGATACTATATGAGAGATTCATTCGAGACACAGGAAATAAACAGATAAAGTGGTAAGAAAAACACGTTATTAAAGTTATTTTGCTTCTTTAAATTGATTTATTTAAGCTTATACTCTCTACCGTAATGGACCAAACTAAAAGACGACGTCAAAAGCAATTGAAGTTTTTTCAGTTAGCTTCAAACGTTACTTTTCTTGTCTTTTTTAGTGTAATCCATTTCATAAAAACATTACAGCTAGTAAATATGCGCGATTTGTCAAGTTTAATAATACAAATGTTTCAAATAGCACAAATTATACCACCATTGAGGTATATGACTATATATCATTTAACAATGCCCTACGATCATTATGAACGTGCAAATTTAGTGAATTTATATGCAGAGTTGGCCACAACACCGCGACGGTTCTACGATCTTACGGGCATAACACGAGAAGCATTCCATGATTTATATCATGATTTTCTAACATGTACAACCTCAAAATTAGCGTTATTTAAACAAAGAATTCATTCACGTACATTAGATGCGAACATCCTTTTATTACTGTTAATCTGGCTTCGGCAGTACCCCGGAAACAGTTTGTTAAGCCTCATGTTCCGTGTTTCTCGATCAAAAATATCATATAACTTACGCTTTTCTCTACCGATTTTAACAAAAACAGTTCGCTCTATGATAATATGACCTACACCTCAAGAAATGACCAGTTTAGTTGTTTTTAATCCAATTTTAGGACGTTATGTCGGTTTCATTGATGGGACACGACACAATCAATCGTCCTCGTAAGCATGCGCTCAGTTCTCTTCTATTCTTTCTCTGAATGAATTTGATTTTTCTCCCTCTAGAAAACCATCAACGGGTTTATTATAGTGGTAAATCCAAGTATCATTGCCTCGCGTCTATTTACGTTGTTTCTACAGATCGTCGTCTTATTTATTTTAGATCAGGTTTTCTTGGTTCTGTCCATGATAGTCGGATGGTATCCACATGTGGAATTGGACCTAACCAAAACTGCATCATTCCACAACACACGAAAATCCTCGCGGATAAGGGTTTTCCAAACGGTGGCTATCTGCCCACACCGGTGAGAAGAAATGAACTTCGAAATTATTCTAAAGAAGCGAAAGATTTATTCAATTATCATTTATCCTCAAAAAGAATATTTGTTGAGCATCTAACACGCGAGATGAAAATTTTTAACTCTGTTCATACTGTTTTTCGTCATAATCATGGGGTTTGGCATACTGTAAGTCTTTGTTCTGAATATCTAGCCACATTAGAGCGAATTTATTTTATACTTAGAACTGTTTGTTTATTTAACTCTTACTGCGCTCAAAATAAATGTGTTCAGAAATTTCAAAGAATATAGCAGCACTGGTCGACTGACTGTTCTTCTCATAATTTCTTCGTATTTCTTGTCCTCATTTTAAATCTTTATTATTCGTAATCTCCTTCCAATATAATGCAGAAGCTTACAAACCAAATAGGTAATTGCATCATGAGTGTTGCCAGTTCAGCCGAGAATCTTGCACAAAAAATAAACGAAAAATGAAAAAAATTGAAAAATCTTAGGCCTGTAGC